TTTTTTTTTTTTTTGGCACTGGGAATCAAATTCAGACCTCACCTCATGCTTACCAGGCAGATGCTGCACTGCTGAGCTACATCCCCAGCCCTGTGTCTGTTTTCTCTGCTGGACTAACAGCACCTTCGGTGATTCATTCAACAAATATCTGTCTCTCTGGCAGACAGTAGGGTTGAGAAGATAAATTAGAAGCTCTTGGTTTAGCACGGAGTTCGAAAGGAATGCCAGGAAACACTGGTCTTGTGACCTTGTTTCATGGTCATTTGGGAGCTGATGTTCAGCATGGCTCCCTTTAGAGATAGATTAGGATCCATATTAGTATTTTAAAGGATCTGAATAGTCCTGAAATAAAGGAAATATTTGCTTTGCCCACCCTAGCTTTGCCAGACTTAATACATGTTTGTTGAATGGATTTGAGTCACCTGCACGGTTCTTCAGTTCTGTCGCTGCTTTGGTTCCCAGCTCGAGAGGAGGTGGGAGTACCACAATGGTTAGAGACCCTGCGGGAGCAAGCAGCCTCTGACTGCATAGGGATCTGTGCTCTTGCTACCTGGTGCCCTCATGGAGACCGGAAGTCCGGGGTTGAGCAACATGAAGCCCGAGTCCCTGCAGCTGGTGTTGGAAGAGCAAGTGCTGGCATTACAGCAGCAGATGGCGGAAAACCAGGCAGTCTCCTGGCGGAAGCTGAAGAGCTCCCAGGAGGCCCAGCAGAGGCAAGCAACCCTCGTGAGAAAGCTGCAGGCCAAGGTGAGGCAGCTGCCCCCGCTGGGGAAGGGAAAAAACACCCACGAGAGCTGGGCCTAAGGGTTGGATGAGGGCCGAGAATGGCCCACAGCTAGGCTGGAGAGGGGAGAACCCACAGTGTCTGGCTTTAGATGCTCATAGCTGCTCTATGGGGTATGGAGTATGTAGTTCAGGTTGGCCTTGAACTCACCATGTATTCCAGGCCCAGACTCACAGCAATCCTCCTGTCTTGGCCTCCTGAGTACTAGTGTTACAGTCATGTGCCCCCATGCCTGCCTTGTCTCTTTTAAACATTATGTTTTTGGGGGTTACATTTGTTGCCCAGGATGTCTGAGGCTATAGCTAAGAATTGACCTAGATTTTCAGATTTTGCCTCTCCAAAGCAAGAGGCGTACCAAAGGTTTTCTTTAAACACCCGAACAGAAACTCTAAAATACTGTGGCCTTCCCTCCCTATCATCACCTGGTGCTCTGTTCATGCCAGGTTAGCCCAGGACACCGGGGCCGTTTGTTCAGGCTGTCTGTACCAGCTGTATCTATTGCCAAGGGCCTGCTCTCTGCCACAGGTGTTGCAGTACCGGAGCTGGTGCCAAGAGCTGGAGAAGCGGCTGGAAGCCACCGGAGTGAGTGAGGCTGTGCTCTGTGTCCCCCCACACCCGTCACTGAGTGCACTCATTAGGTTCTGTGCTGCCTGAGGAAGGCTGGAATGTGATAAGGGGTGCTCGGTAGAACTCTCATCCTTCAGTCCCTGAGAGCTTCAGAAACACCATTCTTTCTTGGACTGGCTAGCACTGGCCTGTCAGCTTCCAACCCTTGGCTCTTTAAGAAGCAAGGCAGCGACTTCCAGACTTTCAGGCGACTTTCCAGAATGGGCACATGGAGTTAGGAGGGAAGAAGTGCGTCTTTCTTCCAGCGGGTGTCAGTGTTTATCTGTAGTAGAGGAGGGGTGCCTATGCTGGCCTGCAGCACAGGTCTAGCAGAGGAATGGATTGGTGCTATTTGCTGTGTAGGACTGGCTGTGGAAGACCCACTGGCCTTCGTTCCAGCTCCCTCAGACACCCTCCCATTCCCGTCAGAAAAATTATCTCAGAGGAAGGAAAGGACTAAAACATTGCGCATGTTTTATGCAGGCCAGGAACCATTAGGCATTGTATAATTATGTCACTTAGTCTACAAAAATCTTTCTAAGGAGAATGATACTGCCTGCGGTTTGTAACTGAAGACACTGTAGAAGTTAAGTACTTCCCAAAACCTAGAAAATAGTGTAGTAGAAATCAAAGACATTGCTTCTTAGGTCCACTTCACCATCTTTCAGGAGAGATTTATTGGTTCAGTTGTGGAGAGGGAGATACAATGGATCTGGTCTTGGGATGTAGTGATTGAGAAATGAAGCACTGTGATAACAGATGACAGAAAGAATTTAAAAAGCAGGCTGCTGCAGAAGAGGGCATCAGGGAGTGGGTCTGGGTGATGTTCTCTTTGGAGGTAAATACAGTTTGTCTCTGTCTGGCCAAGGGATTGATCCCTCAGCAGTGGGAAAGTGTGGAGGAGCCAAACCTGGATCAGCTACTAAACAGACTGGACGAGGAGCAACAGAGGTGATGGACCCCACATCTTCTGACATGAATGATTGGCCAGTGGGTGGAGAAGGCTGATGGGAAACTTCAGTCCTGCGGTTAACGTGGATAGACACTGGCCTTAGCTCTATAATTCCTGGCAGTGGAAAAATCTAGTCATTGTCAGCTTATTCCCAAGAGGTCCAAAGATTGGACCAGACTTTTATCTTGGACTTGTTCTTACCCTCCCCAGTGCAGGTGTGAGAGTCTAGCAGAGGTGAACACTCACCTTCGACTTCATATGGAAAAAGCTGATGTGGTGAATAAAGCCCTTCGGGAAGATGTGGAAAAATTGACCGTGGACTGGAGTCGGGCCCGGGATGAGCTAATGAGGAAGGAGAGCCAGTGGCGGATGGAGCAGGAGGTAAGCAGAGCAGGGCTGTGTACTGTGGGTACTGTCCTGGTCAGTCCTGGAAGGGTTAACTTCAGAACTCAGATGGAAACTAAGCCGTCATTGTCAAAGTGTCTGACCATCCTTATTGAAGCTGACTGCTTTTCCCATGTTAACTATGCCTGTGCTGTCAGCTTTGCCCTACTTAAGCTGTCTACCATTGCTTGTCTAGCCTACCTTTGCTAGCAGGTGGCATGACACAAGGCAAGTCTCTTTTGCAAACGTGATCGGCTTAAGTTTTAGATGGATCGAGAAGCTTATTAACTGCTTTCATCTGAAAGTCTGTATATCTAGATGCTAAAGTGGAAGATACTAAATGGAATGGAGAAAAAAGACCAGTTCTAGAACCTGGGGAGTTTTCAGATCCCAGCTGAAAGAAACAAATGTCTCCTGAGCCTTTGCCCTGTGCTAGGTGACTTGCATATATTAGATCACCTAATTCTCCTTGTAAGTCTGTGGTAATAGCTCCCTTTAAGCACCTACTGTGTATCCTTTTCTCATCTAACCCAGAGGAAGACTGCTTTCCATCCAGGACCCCTTTGGCCTCTTGAATCCCACTGCCAACTTTATTAAACCCTTCAGCATAACCTGAATATAGGTAGCTACTTATGAACTGTCTCCTAAAAGTCCCTCCCAGCAGTCAGGAGTAAATCCAGGACTCTTGTGTGGGTAAAAGGTAGTCCTCTGCCCTTGGGTATGACCTGGGTTTCTGAACACACAGTTCTTCAAGGGCTATCTGAAAGGGGAACATGGTCGCCTTCTCAGTCTGTGGCGGGAGGTGGTGACCTTCCGACGCCACTTCCTGGAAATGAAGTCAGCTACTGACAGGTTAGTGCGGGGATAAGAAGGGAGGAGGATTGCCCCTACAGATTCTGGACTTGAGGCAGAAGTCCAGAGCTGAAGTAGGGGGACCAGGTGTTGGGGTGGGGTAGAGGGGGAGAGTTGCCATTGGTTTGAGATTATTTTTTCCCAGATCTGCCCCTCAGGCTCGTTGGGCCCTATCTCCACGTTCCCTTCCTTGATCCCTATTGGAGTCTGCTCTTTTCCTTGCTTGTCTTCAGAGATCTGACAGAGTTAAAGGCTGAACATGCGAAGCTTTCAGGATCCCTGCTGACCTGTTGTCTGCGCCTGACTGTGGGAACACAGTCTCGGGAATCCAGTGGATCTGGGAGAATGGATGAGCGTGAGCCAACCCAGCTGCTGCTGCTGGTAGCCAAGACCCAAGAGCTGGAGAAAGAAGCTCATGAGAGGAGCCAGGAGTTGATACAGCTGAAGAGCCGAGGGAAACTGGAGAAAGCTGAGCTTCAGGACAGGTGAGATGGCTTGAGGCCTCAGGAAGCACCCGCTGACAGAAAGCTGACTTCCCTGATGAGCTAGGGATATGCAGGAAGACATCAAGAGCATTCCCAACATGAGAGGGGAAGGAGACGTTGGAAAGGAGTCTAGTTGGAAATCCAGTGCCATGGCTGGAGCTGGTTGCTGACCTCTTCCCGCAAACTAACTCAGTTTCTTTCTTGTCAGTGTACTCAGTTCGCTATGATTCTGTTCTCTGTCAACACCTGACTACTCACTGTTCCCAGAGCCAAGTTATTCCTGCTTCTCTGCCTTTGTACGTGGAGACTTTGGCCTGGAATGCCTCCTTTGCTCCTGTGTGCCTTATCCTTCAAGGCACGGCTCACATGTCATGTCATCTGTGAAGTCTTCTCTGACCTCAGTAGCCTATTACATTATCATGCTTCTGTGGTCTTTTTATCTGGTTGTTACAGCATGGATCTCATTAATTACTTTGTTGTTGTTGATGTTGTTGTTGTTGTTGTTATTGGTGGTGATGGTTAGGCTGTTTTAGTTGTTTGCATATTGATGTGGAGCTTATTGATGTTCAAACATAGACCCATGCTATGTAAGCACTTTACCACTGAGCTACATCCCCAGCTCCGCTGTTTTAATTTTGGGGTTGTAATAAAATACGCTTTTTAAAGTGATAATAGGAAGAACAGGGACATAGCAGAAAGTCCCATTGACTCTCAGGGCAATGTCCCATGGTTAAGGTTGTGTCTCTACCTATTGATGGTGTACATAAATTGCAGGACTATTTTGTTTTGTTTTGCTTTTGTTTTTGGAGGCACTAAGAGCCACAAGGATAGATCGTGTCTTAGTAAGTTTTGTATCTCTGTTGCTTTGTATTTCATCTGCCATCTAGAAGACACAACGAATGTATTTTGAATGAGTCATTTTTGGGAACAGTGCATAATAAAATTTTTAAGAACTTTTAAAACTTTTTTGGGGGATGATTGAACTCAAGACCTTGTACTTTTGAGGCAGGTGACAGCACCACTGAGCTAAATTTCCAGCCCCTGAGACTTTTAAAACTTTAAACTTCAAGTTTAAATATTAAGACTTTAATCTACTGCATGATATTCATTTAATAAATATTTATCCTGCTCATCAGGTACTAAGTTCCAAGATACACTGTTAAGTGACAAGTGTTAAGGGAGGTCGACCATATTCTGTCCCAAATCACCCCTCCCTTTTCCCTATCAGAGTCAGGATCCTGGGCAGGAGGGACCTTGGGACCATCCCATGTGGCAATTCTCATGTTCTTATTGGCTTCAGGATGCTTGACTTCAAGATCAAGCGAGGCCTGGAAGGGCCTGGGCCAGGGCTTTCCTTCATTTCTCGGGCCCCAAAACACGTGTTCCAGCCTTGAGATGTGGTAAATCCCTGCATGTGTCTGAGTGGCTTTGGCTCCCCCCACACACACCCAATTCAAGGCTATAGCATTGTGTGGTATTCAGGGCGTGCAGAGGGGCTGGGGTTGCCCAAGGGATTCGAGGGGTTGGACTGCAGTGGGAGTGTCTGTGTTGGGGCTGGGGAGTGTTGCATCATATCTCTGCCCACATCTGTGGGCTGTCCAGGTAATAGCGCTGTGTTCTTCTCTTTAGGGTGACTGAACTCTCTGCTCTTCTAACCCAGTCTCAGAAGCAAAATGAAGATTATGAAAGGATGGTAAAAGCTCTGAGAGAGACAATGGAGATACTGGTACATGATTCTGTATTCTGGAAAGGAGTTGGGAGGGGACTTATAGATTCCTTGCCCTTTATGGACACACTGTAGTCTGAGGGCAGAGGTCAGTGACCAGTTAAATGGTCCTTGATGAAATCCTTTAAAGTGGAAAAATACTTTGGCTGAATTTGAAAATTAACTCATTTACTCAGTGATATTAATTGTTCAGTATCTCAACTGTATTCTTGGAGAAATCATAATATCGTTATCAGAGAGAGGTGGTATATACATTAAGAGCCCTACTGTCAGATATGGTGGTACACACCTGTATCCTAGCACTTGGGAGGCTGAGACAGTTTGAGACCAGCTTGTACTATACAGCAAGACCTTATCTCAAAAAACAAAGAGAGGGGCTGAGGTGAGGGAAAACACAGGCTGTCACATTAGCAAATTACCAGGAAGGGGGTGTGTAGAGGGAAATAACTGAGGAGTATGGCATTGCTTGGGCTGGAGCCAAAAGGACCTGAGGAAGAAACCATGCTGCCTTCTCATAGCTGAAGGTCTAACATTGAGGAAAAGTAAGTTGAATTGTTTATTGTCTCCCAGGGCAAAACCAAAGTCAGGGCTAGAAGTTATGGGCTAGTTTGGTTCACAACTAGAGCTGTTCCTTTAAGTAGTCTGTCTTGTGAAGGAGCAAGGGTTTGGTCACTGACGTTACAAAGACATTCTTTAAGGCCGGCTCCATGAATCTTTGGCTCCATTCCATTCCATTCCGTGTTTCTCTTTGTCTCTTTGATTTTGTTGTTGTTTTGTTTTGTTTTGTTTTGTTTTTGAGACAGGGTCTCACTATGTAGTTGAGACTGCCCTGGAACTCACTATGTAGCCTGGGCTGGTCTTGAACTTGCAGCGATCCTCCTGCCTCAGCCTCCCACGTGCTGGGATTACAGGTGTGTGCCACCACACCTGGCTTGTCTCTTTGAATTTTTATATCTCTGATCTTGGGCAGCTCTTGAATCCTTATATGCGTGCACACTTAAAATTTTACCCAAACTGGAGTCAGCTGTGGGCTGATCTTCTTGATTCCTTTTTGTCATGAATTTCCAGGGCTTATCTAATATAAATGGGGTATGAGAGTTCTGGTTTCCCAGTGCCGTTGTGTTTAGCTTTTAGTGCTGCTTTTAGGGCTTGGATGCAGGGGATACTTGAGCTCAGCATTAAGGAAACTGAGGAATGGCAGGGGCTGTAGGACCCTGAATAAGTGTGTCAAGCTGAGCATGGTGGTGCACTCCTATAATTTCAGCACTCAAAAAGCTGAGGCAGGAGGATTATGAATTCGAGCCCACCATGGGCAACTTAGTGAGACCCTGTCTTACAAAAAGAATAAACATATTACATTGTATACCTTAAATGTACCAATAAAATTAATTGTTAAAAAAACCAAGGCTGGGGATTTAGCTCAGTGCCGCCACCTGCCTGGCAAATGCAAGTTTGTGAGTTCAATCCCCAGTACCAAAAAAAAAAGAATAAATATATCTCATCTGAGGAGATATCCACTCATCGACTTCAGTAGATTGCTGCCATCTAGGAATGGAGCATTTGTTAAATTTTTGAAAGAAGCTAGAAATTCCGATTTTTATGTAAAATCTTTTAATTTTTAAATTTTGTATAGGCCAAATAAAACATAGCTACTGGTTTGTGTCTCCAGTGCTTTGTTATCATAAACGCAGTAGGAAGGAAGGAGGAAATCTTGAGTCTTCAAGATGATTTCTAGTTTTGGGGTTAGTGCTGGGGGTATAGTTCAGTGGTGTAGCATTTGCCTAGAGGTTCAAACACCAGTACTGCCAAAACAAAGTGTGTTTAGATTTGGGTCTGAAGGTTTCTCTTAGTAACCTTAAATCTCAGACATTAACCTACTGTTCAAGAAACTCTAGCCACCCCCATCAGTACCAGAGATAGAACCCAGGAGTGCCCTACTATGAGCTACATCCCCACATCCACATCCCCAACCCTTTTTAGTTTTTATTTTGAGACAGTCTCATCTCGTTGCCATTTGGGACTTGAGATCTCCCTGCCTGAGCCTCCCTCAGTGTGAAATTGGGATGGACCACTGCCCACCTGGAGTGTTTGCTCAGACGGGCACTGTGTTGAGTAATTCGTGTCCAGTTTTTCATGTAAGCTTCTAAACAGACTTGTGAAGTAGTTGCTGTTGATTATTCCTCTTTTCAAGGGAAAGGTTCAAAGGAGTTGTATAAGGTGACCAAGCTAGTGAGTGACGATCAAGAACTCCAATAGGCAGGTTTCTTAAAACTTTTAAGCACTTAGTCTGAACTTTTTATCATCCTATCACATCCTTGGAAAAGTGGAGTTGACAAGACAGACAATGAGCTGGGTGTGATCATGCATGCTTGTAATCACAGCCCTCAGGAGGCTGAGGCAGGAGAACCACTGAGTTTGAGGGCAGCCTGGGTTACCTAGTGAGTTCAAAACCAGTCTGAACTACATAAAGAGACCCTATCTAAAAACAAAACAAGATAGACAGTGAGAATTTTGTTGATTCAAGGTCAAATTATGAATTCTCTCTCTCTTTTTTTTTTTTTTTTTAAGACAGGGTCTCACTTTGTAGTTGAGACTGACCTGGAACTCACTATGTAGCTCAGGCTGGTCTCAAACTCACAGCGATCCTCCTGCCTCATCCTCCAGAGTGCTGGGATTATAGGCATGCGCCACCACGCCTGGCTATGAATTCTCTTTTGAGGATTGGCTCTTAGGCTCTTTTCTGTTCCCTGTGTAGGAGACAAATCACACAGAGTTAATGGAACACGAGGCATCTCTCAGTAAGAATGCCCAAGAAGAGAAGTTGTCTTTGCAGCAGTTGATCAAGGATATAACCCAGGTACTGGTGAGCCCATTGCCTTGGTAACTGGGTAATGCCTCACTCTTCTCCCCAGGCTACTTTGTCCTCTCAGGGTGTCTAGGTTTCCAGTCTGTGAGGCCTGGGCTTAGGGAATTGTGGGGATGAGTTCTCTGAGTCTGTTGTGAAGAGCAGAACCCCAAGGCACGGGTAAGTATTCATGCCCAACTACTGTGTGGTGGACCAGGCCCTCTCCTTGTTGCCAACTGCAACTCTCCAGCCACAAGCTAGATTCTGGTCTTTGTCACTTGATAGCCTCTTCCTCCTTCATTTCCTTATTTATTACTTGTCACGGTGTGTGACCATGTAGAGGATGAATGATTGCTCAGAGACTAGACTTAGTTCACTCACTAAGAGGCCCAGAGGGACTATCTCAAGCAAGCGCCCACCATTAGGGAGACTCCCGGGAGAAGCCCTGAAGCCCAGTGCTCTCCAGCTTTTATTTAGAATATCAGTATAAGTGAAAAAGGGAGAAGAAAAACAGTTGGGACAAGAAGCTGCCCCAAGGCTGGACAGTTTTTCTTGGGGAAAGGTTAAGGACAATGGCCAGACACAACATGCTTCACTAATCTAAACTTTTTGCTGTTTAACCATTCATTTCTCATGGAACCTGTGTGCTTTTGCCCAACAGTTTTTTTTGTTTTTTCTTTGTACTGGGGATCGAACTCAGGACCCTACCTAAATCCCTGGCCCTGCTGCCCCACAGTTTAACCATTCACTCCTTGGCCAACCCCCCACAATTACTGGCCTGTAGAGAATTCTTACCTAGTTGCTAGTCCCACACTTGAATGACCAGAAGTGGATAGTTGAAAGAATCAGGTTTTTTCTCTCTCCCCCTCATACCTGCCCCTGCCCCCAGGGAAAACATCTGGGAAGGAAAACTTCAGGCAGGTTCCCCTGGGCTGTAGTGTAAGAACTGTGGGAACTCTAGCCTTACTCAGTAGGGTGTTGACCCCGCTGTTTTGGGTTTCAGGCTTTGTTAGAAGAAGACAGTATGTTGCAAGACTCTGGTCAAGAGAACTCCCTGGAATTGGACTGTAGTGGCTTCTGCCAGTTTGATTCCCAGGACCCAGATAAGGCTATTACTCTGGTACGTGCGGTGCTGACTCAGAGACGACAGGCTATGCAGGTAAGAACACCAGCATTCCTTCTGAGCCACAGGGTGGGTGCCTAAACTGATTTGTGCCCCAGGTACCTCCCTAGCCTCGACTGCCCCTTTCAGCTGTCCAGTTATGAGGTATTCAGTTGATATCTCAAACCATGCACTAGAATCTCTGCCCACTTGTACTTGTGGGGTAACGGGCACATTTTCTGTGTCGGTGGCATGCTTTACTTTGCATGTGATGTTTGCATAGCAAAGAGCCCTGGAAGAGGATGGGTAAGTGTTCCCCTACCCTGAGGGGTCCACGGACACTTACCATCCCCCGTGCCCTCTGCATTTGAAGATGACCAACTCGAAGACACTAGAGCTGCAAAAGCCCAATAAACTCTGATCCTCTGACTCCTCACCTGGTCCCATCTCTAACCTCAGTTTAACCTTGTAGCAGCCCCACCCTCCTTGTCCAGCCCTACTTTCATGCTTCTGAAATCCCTTCTTTGGCCTCACTGTCTTGCTCATCATCTCATTTTTATTGCTGTCTCTGCACAGGACCTAAGGCAACAGCTTTCAGGCTGCCAAAAGGCTATGAGCATCTTGCAGGAGCAGCACTATCAATGGGAGGAAGAAGGCGAGACCCTGAGACAGCGGCTGCAGATGCTCACAGGCGAGCGGGATGTGCTGGCAGGGGAGACTGTGGGCCTCCAGACAGAGGTGGACTCCCTCAGCAAGTGAGCCAGCAGGCTGTTTATCTCTCCTGTCCACCCGCAGTCACAGTTGCCACCAGCCACTGACCCAGCCTCATTGTTATCGATTGTCTCCTCTTGCTGCCTGAAACCCAGGGCTGCTCGAGGCTGCTTTCTTTCATTTCTGCTTATTTGTACAGAAAGAGCTTTTGGGTTCTGAGTTCTTCGAAATTATGAAAAATAGTTTCTCATGCAAAAGGAAAGATAGGGTGTTGAAAAGAAACAAGCACTTCTCTCCTTTAACCCTGACATGTGTTTCCAGTAAGGATTTTAGGTCCCAAGATCTGTTCATCTCTTGTTCCCTCCTTCCAGAGAGCGAGAGCTCCTGCAGAAGACCAGGGAAGAGCTGCAACAGCAACTGGAGGTGCTGGAGCAGGAGGCGTGGCGACTTCGGAGGGTGAACATGAAGTTGCAGTTGCAGGAGGACTCGGCCCAAGGGCAGAAAGAGGAGCAGCAGGAAGAGTTGCACCTGGCTGTCCGGGAGAGGGAGCGTCTGTGAGTGTGAACAGTTCCCTCCTTGTAGGGGCCTGGCCGGCCATTCCATAGCCTCTGCCTCTTTGAAAGTGGGTTCACTTTACTGCTCCTTTTGCAGAAAGTACAGAAAAGTTCATCAAGACTTCGCTGAGTACCCTCAGGGCCGAGACACTGTGGGAATGCATAAATGAATAAGGCATGGGCCCTGATCACAAGGAGCATGCAGTCTAATGAAGAGAACAGAAAGTAACAACTGTGATATGAGGCTAGATGAAGTGTGAGCTAAATGGAGCATCAAGTTTGGTCCTTTGGAAGCATAGGAGTAACAGTTAATGACTGAGGCCAGGGAAAGCTTTATGGAGGAAGGGGTGTACTTTGGGCCAGGCTGTGAACTATTTTGATTGGTAAAGAGTTGGGGAAGGGCCCAAAGAGCAGAAGAGCAAAGAAAAGGAGGTAGGAAAGTTCATGGTAAGTTCAGAGTAGTCTGGGCTGCTAAAGGATCAGAAATACTAGGAAGTAATAGGAAATGAACTGGTCAAGAAGGGAAATCCAGGGTCAATGGCCCTGGCTGATCTGTCAATTCCCCTAAGAGATGTTGCAGTAAAGAGCAGGACTTTAGAGTTGGGCAAAAGCTTGGTTTAGATTCTTGATCTGCCACTTGAGCAGATTATTTTGTTTGTAAAATAGGGACAACACTTTTTACCTTGAAGAGTTGTTGGAAAGATTAGAGCTGTACTTTGAAAAATACCACCATAGAGCCTTGCCTATGATAGGTCCTGAGCAAGTGGTAGCACAGGTCTCTTCACCCTTGTTATATTCCCCTCCTCGGTGTATTCCTAGTTCCTTGTGCCTAGGCGAGGCGAACAGTGGAAGCTTAAAGGCTACTGTGTCATGCTTTGTGTTAGGGAGACCCCCCCCCGTACAAAGGGGAAGGGCAGGCCATCTGCAGAGATAATTATAATTTTAAATTTTATTTTATTGTCATATGATTTAAAAGTTAAAACTATTTTAAAAGATACACACAGAAAGGTCTCACTCTTATCTTTCCTTTCTCCATCCCACTTCTCCAATCTCCGTAGATGACCCTTTAAATTAATTTCTTATTGGGCTGGGGATTTAGCTCAGTGATTCCGCTGCCTGCCTTGCAAGCACAAGGACCCACGTTCAATCCCCAGTACCCCCCCAAAAAAAAATTCTATAAATTAATTTCTTATCTTTCTTGTGCTACTTCAGGTAAACATAAGCATAAATTCCTTTTACTTTTTTCATAAAAGTGAGTGCACTAAATATATTGTACTATACTTTGTTTTATTCTCTTCCTATTTCAATGAGGTCGTTCCTTAGCAGTCTTAAAGACCTTCCTCATTCTTTTGTGTAGGAAAGGGAATTATATCAGCAGTTACCTGCTGGAATCCTTATATTCCTGTAACCTGTGGGGGTGTGGCCACTCCTAAAGACTTCCTCTAGCTCTGCTCCTTCCCTTCTTAGTCAGGAGACGCTGGTGACCCTGGAAGCCAAGCAGGCAGAATCACTCAGTGAACTGATCACGCTTCGGGAAGCCCTGGAATCAAGCCGCCTGGAAGGGGAGTTGCTGAGGCAAGAGCAAGCAGAAGTGACCGCAGCGCTGGCCAGGGTGTGTAGGCCACCTCTTTACTTGCTGGGTGGGTGACTCAGAAAGGTGTGTTCCCAGAAAAGGAGCACGCAGCCTCCCTCGTCCTTTATCCTTCACAACAAGACCCCTCCTGTAGCTTTCCTCAATTATTAGTCTGCTACTTGGTCCCCTTCCTCCCAACATGTCCTCTATATTGAAATTAGATGAGTTTTCTACAGTCTAAATTTGGCTGAGTCAGTCTCTTAAAGCTCTTTGCCCTTTGCCTCAAACTGTATTTCTGCCTTCCCACTCCAATCCCCATCCTAACTCCATACATCCTCTGCTCCTGTCACAAAGCATTAACTGCATTCCCAGTTATATCATGTTCCTTTGTGACTAGTATTTCAGATACTTTTCCTTCAAATAGGACCACTTTTTTCCTCCCTCTCTGAACATCAAAACTGCTCCTCATCTCTCATTACCCAACCTAATTATCAGCCCTTCTACCAAGCATTTCTGACTCCTAAACTGACTTAATGCCTTCTTTGAGTTCCCAGAGCACTTTGTGTTTACATTTTGTGTGCCATCATTACAGTTGTAGTTGTTTATACATCCCTTAGATCTGTGCCTCTATGCTGTGAGTTCCTGTCCTACTCCTCATGAATGGAAGGCAAGGAAAGGGATGAAGTATTAGCTGATCTTTGTAAAAAAAAAAAAAAAGAAAAGAAAGAAAGAAAAAAGCATCAAGTGTTGGGAATGTGAACTGTATACTGTTTCAAGAAAACTAGAAATGGAAACTCTTCAATCCTTTTCGTTTCTAGGCAGAACAGTCCATTGGAGAGTTGTCAGGTTCTGAGAACAGCCTGAAAGCAGAAGTTGCTGATCTTCGAGCTGCAGCTGTCAAACTGAGTGCCTTAAATGAGGCTTTGGCTTTAGATAAAGTTGGGCTGAACCAGCAGCTTCTCCAGGTGAGCAATGATGTGTTTGATTCTCTAGGGTAGGGCTGGGCTGAAGGTAAACCAGTGAGGGACAAAGCTGATGTCTATAACAAGGCAGACACCTTAAAGGATCAGACCAAAACAGGTGAGCCCCAAATATAGTTCTGAAATGAGCAAAAGCAGCATTTCCAGAGCAGAGGAGAGCAAAATATTTTGTTGAACCATTAGAAATACTCCTCTCCCACACCTCCAGCAGAATCAATTTGGGGCTTTGGGGTAAGTGATCAGGTCTGGGAAGAGACCTTTGTCCTCTAGGAGCAAGACTGGAGTTTTAATCTTGTTGGGTGAAATATTAGCAATCACCAGAGGAGAATCTGTTGAAAAGTCTAAGTTCCACAATATATTCTCTCTGGTTGACAAATTTAACTTACAATTTTAATGAGGGGCTCTCTTGAGCCCAAGAAAGCCTTCTGAAATCGCTGAGAGCTGCATTTTCCCCCCACTATTATAAGCGCTCCCGTGTCATCTTTTGAGGCTGGATTCAGATCTCACTTGGATTTCAGTCACAGCATTTGAGACAGTGCAAGAAAACCGTATGTAACCACTCATCTTTGATACACTCTGCCTCTTTCCCTTTTTGGCCAGTAGTTGGAGCAGGACAACCAGTCCTTGTGCAGCAGAGTGGAGGTCGCAGAGCAGGCAAGAAGCACTTTGCAAGTGGACCTGGAAGAGGCAGAGAGGACCAGGGAAACCTTATGGGAAAAGAGAACTCAGCTAGAGGCTCAGCTGCGGAAAGCAGAGGAGACCAGAGCTGAGCTACACACAGAGCTCAGGGGCATCCAAGAAGAAAAAGAAGAAATTACAGAGAAATTGAGTGAGGTGAGAAGACAAAACTGACACAATTGCATTAAGGTATAATACATCCTCTCTCCAGACACTGGTGCCTCCCTGTAATCCCAGCACACTAGGAGGCTGAGGCAGGAAGATAGCAAGTTGGAGCCCGCCCTGGACAATTTAGCAATTTAGTGAGCCCTTGTCCTCAAATGAAAAATAAAAAGCGCTGGGGATAAAACTCAGTGGGAAGATCCTGAGTTCAATCCCTAGTAACACACACATGCATGCACACACTCACGCATGTGTGCACATTTGCACACAAGCATAATACATGTTTGTTATAGAAAATTTAAATACTATAGGAATGACTCAGAAAGTAAAAGTCTCCCTGGAAATGACCAGTGTTCATAATTCATGATATGTCTCCCCATCTTTTTTTGAGACAAGGTGTTGCTATATAGTCAGGTCACCATGTAGCCTAGGCTGGCCACAAACTTGAAATTCTCCTGTCTCAGCCTCCTGAGTACTGAGATTACAGTTGCAGGTCACCACACCAGTTTCCAAGGCCATGTCTTACTTGTCTTATTCCTACTGCTTTTAGCTCAGTGCCAAATACAGAGTGGGGCTCAGTAAATTTTTATCTGAATCAGTGAATGACCTGGTTCAAAGAGCATTTTTCTCTGCTGCCAAACTCCTCATTGCCTTAATAATTAGACATACTCTCCCTTCTCAGAGTTTCTTTCTCAGGACACTGAACACTTTCTTCCTGGTATTATATGTGTGTCTTCTCAAAACTAAAAGCTCAGTGACACTGCGCCTGCCTGTCAAGTGCAAGGTCCTGAGTTCAATTCCCAGTAACTCCTCCCCCAACAAAAAACCAAAATATCAAAACTAAAATCTCCTTAGGAGTAGGTCTACTGTCCCTTAGCAAGGGTATTGCACATAGAAGAGCATACTTCTTTTTTTTTTTTTTTTTTTTTTTTTTTTTTTTT